GAGTCAAGTGTAAGAAGAGTCAAAAAAGCAAGTTCTCTAAGAACTTCGCCCGCTTTTTTGGTGTTACAATAAACTTTGCCACTTGACTGGAAGAGAGTTTGAGTACATGAATTCATTCCAGGTGATGCCACCCTGTACCCTGACATTTCAAAGTTCCCAATACCCCTAAACCACATCACATTGGTGGTTTCATATGGGGACCTGCTTGACTCTCGAGCCCTCCTCTGGATAAGATCAGAAGGTATGCAAGCCTTCTCTTTCTCTGCCTTTTTCTCACTTTGCAGTTGGGGTCACCCTCCAAGCACCTTGGAAGGTTTGGAGGAGCTTTTAAGCCTGACATTCGCAGGTTCCAATTGGCTCAGATGATTCGAGACTGTCTCAGAGCTGGGTGCACTTTCTGCTGTACAGAGGCTGCCCTATCTGGAAGTGTATGCCCAATTCTCTCATTCTCTAGGATGCTAGAGAACTGAGTGACTGCAGGTGCTTTTTGGATTTTTCTGAGGCTTACAGGAAAAGAAATGGGCAAATTACCAGGATACACCCCAGGATTTGCCTTCTCTTCTGGTTTAATGAAGAGTCTCCCATATTCCATGCCCAAGCCTGCCAGATCCTCCTTTTCTGGTTACAAAATTGGAAAAAGCTTGGTCTATAAGGCCTTAAAAAGGAAAGCCTTGTGCCTGGCCTCAACACAATCTAGAGGACCAAGAAAAAGTGTCTGATTTGTACAGGGGTTTCTGACAAGCCTCTCTGAGCTTTTGGACTGTCCCCATCACTTATCTGTAACACTGTTTAATAATGTTAATCTTTTCTGTTTGTGTCTATGTGTGGTGTGAGTGAGTGTCTGTGTGTCATCCTGACAGCCTGTAAGATTTAAAATGTAGCCAGCCAACAAAAGAAGCTTCTAAGGGCTGTAGCTGGACTTTCTTGGAAAGAAAAGTTGTTGGTAAAAATTCTCTCTCTTTCTTTACATCCTTGAACTCTGGCAAAGTTCTGAGTGTGGAGAGACAGACAAGGCAAAAAGAAAGGGGGAGCCTTTTCCACTCAGATCAGAGAGAAGCAGATTGACTAGCACTTAACCATTTCCTATCTCACATAAAGAGAAAAGGTTTTGTGTAACATGACTCTCACCAAGCAGTCTCCTGCAAAAGGGGAAAAAATTCAGTTTACAAGATCTTAAAAGGAGACACCTTAAAAGTGAAGCCTTGAACTTTCCAGGACCAAGAAAAAGGGACTAGGCACCAACTAGATCTTTTTGAAGGGTCCCAGGTCACCCATCTGGCAGGTTCAATGCCCCACTCTTAAGTTTCTATGTGGTGGACATAGAAGTGAAGTTCCTTTGAGTAAAAGTTTAAGAGAAATTTTTAAAATTCTTCTCCCTGTGATCCCTGCTCTGATCAGGCTGAGGTTACAGTGAAATTTAGAACAGCTAAAAAAACATCTTAGCAGATTCTGGAGGTTTTGAGATTGATCATTAAGGAGTTTTGAAACACCTAGTCACTCCCTTCCTCTGCTCCCTTCCTTTGAGTCAAGAGGGTATCTCAGTGCGGGATTGAAAATAGCCCCATGGTTTCCTGTTAACCCAGATCAGTTTAAGAGAAAAGAGTGCTGGAGAATGGTAGGGACTTCAAACCATCCTTCCCCTCACCTTCACATTCACTCCCCCCCACCGCCACCACTTCAAATTTACCCTCCTCCACCTGGTGAAAAGAAGGATGGGGAGGGGTAGTAGCTTCAGTGGAAGCCCTACTGGCAATGGGCCTGTGCTCCTGGGCACCATACTGTCCACCCAGAAAGCCTGCAAGTATCATCCACATTCAGCACATCCTGCACTCTCCAGCAGCCACAAACAGCATCTGCAGCTGTGGGGAGAGAGGGAAGGGGCATGGGTCAAGTCAGCACAAGGTAAGAAGCCAGCCAGCCCCTGCACTTGGTAAGTCCACTCTTTTTAAGATGTCGTTTCAACATGTTACTGATGAGATGCCAATTTTCTGTGTAATTTGGAAATGTATTTAACAAGCTTAAAGTCACCTGATTTGTAATGGGTTCATTTCAAGTTTCAAATACATAATATTGTTACAAATTGGTAAACTTTGGGGGGCAGCTAGATGGTGCACTGGATAGAGCACCAGCCCTGGAGTTAGGTGGACCTGAGTTCAAATCTGGCCTCAGACATCTAACACTTACTAGCTGTGTGACCCTGGGCGAGTTACTTAATTTCATTGCCTAGCAAAACAAATTGGTAAACTCTTGTATCAATTATGTCAAGCAACTTTTCATAAGTTGGATATAATTAGAGTATGAAATGAAAGAAACTAAAAGACAGTGGAAAAATTGTTTCCCTGCTAACCCTGTCTTATAATGTTTTGTGACTGCCATTTAGAAAACTGGGTATTTTATAATTAAGAGGAAGTTCTGGCTAAAACAATTTGGTTATCACTTATCAAATTATAAAATTATTAACTAAGATATTTAGGTTATTTTTTTAGTGTTAAATATAAAACTGGTAATTGGTTATTCTGTGTGTGTGGAAGGACAGGATGAGGTAAAAACCTTATCCAGATTAGTTCTGCCCACTCAGAGCAGTCCTCAGGGCTAAACACAGCCCACAGCACCTCTAAGAGTATATGGAGTGGATAGCTAACCCCTTCTCTGGGGTTCCTGTCAAAGCTCCTTATTTTGTAAACTTGCCAAGGTTCCTAGAAATCATATGTGTGGGCAAGGTCATCAGCCCTGAAAAAGAAGCTTGTTTGGGTTATAGAGTTCCTAAACAATGAACTTGGCTTGCTAAGGATTTGCAAGTGTATGTAAATGATCTCTAATAATTGACTTTTATACCAGGACAAATTTAAATTTGAGATGTGAGTCCTGGTAAATTTTTATTGCTTACTGCAACTCCATGAGAGTAAAACAATTGCATCTGGCCCTAAGCTGTGATTAGTGAGACTTTGTATCTGAAGTAAAAGCTCTTGGGACTGTAAATAAATTTGTTCTGAGTCTGAATTAAGGTACAGGTGTCTGATTTATCACAATAATCCATCAATAATCAAAAGTCAATAATCCATCTGAGAGAATACCACAAGCTACTCAAAGAGAATGTGATACAAGCAGAGGTCTGCATCTGAAGAAAAAAAAAGGGGGACAACCTTAGCCTCAATCTAAGGTGGGATTGAATCCCCAATAGCATCTGATCCTCCTAGAGGGATTGGAATCACAGTGGAAACTTTTGAAAAAGTAACAGGATCAGTTGATCCTATATGTTAAATGTAAATGACTCTAATTAGGATCTTGGTTTCTTTCTTTGTTTTCCCCCATTCTGACATTACTTTTAATTCTCCTTATATTTAGGTCCTAAATATTGAACTTGCTTGTCAGATTTGTGTCTTCCAGACTATAGAATGGCCTGTAGTAGGCAGCAAACAATGGATACCAGCCCATACCCATCCGTCATTCCCTGGATGTGGCCTATGCTTGTTTCCAGTCAACCTCCACTCTGGGACCCAGCAAGGCAGGGACAGCTCTGTGTCCCTTGCCAGCAGGAAACAGTTTAAGAAGCCAAGACCCTTGCCTCTTGCCCGAAAAGATTTTGGATCTCATTTGTTTGAGGAGGAATGATAGGATGTTGGGATTTGAACCCTTAAAGCCAGGGTGGTGAACCTGCAGCCTTGAGGCCACATGTGACCTTCTAGGTCCTTGGGTTTAGCCTTTTGGCCGAGTCCAAGTGTTACAGAACAAATCTTTTTATTAAGAAGATTTTTTCTGTGAAGTTTGGATTCCGTCAAAGGGCTGCACTTGAGGACCTAGAGGTCCACATGTGGCCTTGAGGCTGCAGGTTCACTACCCCTGCCCTAAAGGAAAAGACCATGTCTCTAGAAGCAACCCAGTCACATACAGGCCTGATCTTGTAATTCTTCAGATGAAAGCTGTCAGTGCAGGCAAGGAGTGCCTGCCCAAGGACAATGCCTCTGGCAAATTTTTGTATTCCTTTTAATAAAGCTATCTTGATTTTTCCCAAACATTCCAGCAGCCCAGACCACTGGTGCCTCTGCATAAGGCACATAACCCACCCCAGACTACTTGCATATACTGAACACTCCTTAATCCCACCCAGACCCTTTCATAGTCCCTTTATTATACAAGCTTCAGCATCATCCTCATTAGTTTGCAGGTTCCCTAAGAACTTCCCAGGCTTTCTTGGCATTGCAAGAAACTTTGCTACTTGACTGGAAAAAAAAGAGTCACAAGGTAGGAAAGCGACCAGTAGGCTTAAATAACACCTAAGAACTGGTAAAGGAAAGGGTTGGGCAAGATGTCTGAGTGAAGTGAGGTGAGGAGGAGGAGGAGGAGGCAGTGAGAAGAGTAAGCTATCATCAAACAGCTTCAGGGTTTTTTTTTTTAATTAAACATAAGGCAAAGTCATCAGCTAAGAAGACGGGGAGGGGAGTATTATGACAAGTTTAGAAGAGATTTGAAATGGCCACTTTGGTGAGCAGGATACCTAATCAGTTACGGAGGAGAAAGATTGCCAAAGTGAGGGTCCAGTTGAGATTGTATAACAGATTTTTATTCAATCCAACATCATCTTGGTTTTGAGATTTCCTCTAGCTCCATGGATAGACAGCATCTGGATGGACATAGTGAATATATGTGGTAGAAATAATCCAGGCACTAGGAGAAGGAGTGGGATGAAGGATGCCTTCATGGTCATTCTTCTACAGGGAGAGGAGATGGGGGGAAGAGGTTAAAGGGATCTTAGCCAACTATGGGGATTAGTGATGGAAGAAACCAAGTAGGTCTCACTAGCTGACCTGAGCAAGTAAGGCTAGTATGATTATAAGAGGGAGCCACAAAGCTGAGGTACCACAGGAAGCTGGTGGATAGTAAGCCTCTTGATCCCCAAATTTGGGTTGTAGTTTCTCAGTTGCTAGCATCCTGGATTTTTTTTTTTCAGATTCTAGGGTCTAGTTTGGAGAAGCCTGTTTTATTTTGTTTACTTTGGTTTTGGACTAGATCTGTGATTTCATTGGTAGAAAAAACTTCCAGTGAGAAAACTCTTATCTTTCCCAGGGAGGAAATCCCCTCAAAAGATCAACACCTGCACAACTTATAGTCTAGGATAGTTGCTGGGTCACTGAGAATTGAAATGATTTAGCCATGGTCAGGCATCCACTATGTTATCAGAGGAAGACCTACTGACTTTAAGGATAGTTTTTTCTTGTACAATATTGCTTCTTCATTCCCTCTCCTTCCACTATGAATGAATATTTGCTTTCTGGTTTGTAAGTCTGTGTCTCCTGAGTTTTCTTTGTCTCAAACCATTTCTGCTTGAACTTATAGGATAGACTTTCTGAACATGCCATGCCAAATACAGGAACCTAGCACAGAGGCAGAAGGTACTTTCTTCCTACCAGCCTTATCCATTACATTACTGCAACTGCTTTTCTATTTAACTCACATGAATCTAAGAATAGATGAGAAAGAGGGAAAGAAATAAATATTTATTAAGCACCTACTATGTGTCAGGCACTGTGTAAACTCTACCAATATCTCATTTGATCTTCACAACAAGGGGCAGTTTGGTGGCAAAGTAGATAGCAGTCTGGCCTTGGAGTCAAGAAGACCTGAGTTCAAATCCGGCCTCAGACACTTGACATTTACTAGCTGTGTGACCCTGGGCAAGTCACTTAACCCCATTGGCTAGCCAAAACAACAAAAAAACTCCCCTTTGAGGGGCAGCTATGTGACGCAGTAGATAGAGCTCCAGCCTTGGAGTCAGGGGGACCTGAGTTTAAATTTGGCCTCAGACACTTGATGCTTACTAGTTGTGTGACCCTGGGCAAGTCACTTAACCCCAATTGCCTCACCAAAAAGTTAAAAAAAAAATCTTCACAACAACTCTGCAAGGTGTTGTTATTATCCTTGTTTTACAGTCAAGAAAATTGAGGCAGACAGACATTAAGTGACTTATTCAGAAATTCAAAGCTCATAAATGCGTGAGGCTGGATTTGAACTCAGATCTTCCTGATTCCAGATCCAGGGCTCTAACCACTATACCACCTAGCGATGTGTAAAATATTTTGGGAAGGTGAACTCTCAATGAATTTTATATGCTAGTGTTTTAAAATAAAATAGCAATTCACTCAATTTGATTTAAAATATTTGAAGGAAATAATTGAATGATGTGGCAGCATGGTGTAGTAGATAGAGCGTGGAGATAGGAAGACATATAAGTACTTATCCTGCTTCTGACACTTACTAGCTGTGTGACACTGGGCAAGTCACTTAAATGCCCCAAGATAACTCTCTTAGAGTAAGTTTTAGATGGGATACAATCTGTATTGATGCTAGAGGTAAAATGATAGACTTATGGTATATTTGATGTATTAATTTGTTCATCAATTACATGTAATATTGATGGCAGGGTGAGGAGAACAAGTCAATACATACTCTAAATAACCTCCTGGGTATGCATTTTTCATAACAGTACAATATCTTTCACGCAATGGGTGCTTAATTAATGTTTATTAAATTGAATTGAATTCTCAAAACCTAGTATTAAGAAAATGCAAAAGAATTCAGATGCTATTCTGCTTTTTGGAGAGCCTTAGGAATTTAGATTGCATCATCCTATCTTTCCATGTGGGAGGAAATTATTAATCACCAAGAGTTTATCTTTCAGTTGAGAACCCTAATCACTTGGATGAGATGAAAGACCAGAACCTTCTTTTGGTGGATTTACCTCCAGGACATCAAGAACACAAGCAAGTAAAAGACAAGTTTTGTCAGACCTATGCTAACTTCACAATAAAGAAGGTAAATCTATTTTTTATCCTTGCCATTACCTCTAATCTTTCATTCCTCAGTGTTATATCCAGCTCTCACCCCTGCTCTTCTCTCTTACTTATTTGTCCAGTCCAAGATCATCTCCTGTATGCTAACTAACCTCTACACTGCCTACTGGATGTTCCCAGCTGGATGTCCCATAGACTTCTCAAATTCAGTGTGTCCAAAACAAAATTCATTATCTTTCTGCCCAAATCCTCCCTTGCTCCCAGCATTCCTATGATTGTTGATGGTACTACCATCCACCTACTTTTACAGGTTCACTATCAAGGCATCCTCTTTGACTGCTAACTGAATCAGAGTGAAATTGTCATACCCTTGGTCTTACGATCACGTGTAAGTGTTTCACTTCCATGTTCATGAACTCTGAAATCCCTTTATCTGGTCATAATCTTTTATTCCTGTGCCTAATTAACCTAAAGCCAATTCTTCATCTTCATCAGTTATATTAGCTTAAGAAAAATATTGTAAATACTTTTATGGAATAGATATTAGTATTATTCCATGTTGATTCTATGAATCTGCCAATAGTAACAATCAGACTTGAGAAAAGGTTACATTGGATACCGAAACCTAGATGCAAATTGACTTCTTTTCCTAACTCAAAGTTTCCTGCATCTTTTTAGAGTGTACAGGGTCATTTCTTTTTATCAGTTTCCAAGGAAAAAGAAATGACAATGTGTCCCAAACTGTGAAGATCTTGGGGTGGGGAAAGGAAGAGTGGGATAAGAGGACAACTGAGGAAACCTGGATCTGGAGCTAGGTATTATGGAGAGGCAAAAAAAAAAAATCAATGGGCTTCCTATTGGTTTCTCTTTGTTTCCATTGCTCTAATGCCTGTGGAGCCTGTGTCAGTCATCTCCGATAAAATCACTTCCCCACTCTAAAAGCCTAAGTTTCTTCATCTTGAGGATTGGACTAGATGATTTCTGATACTCCTTGTAACACTCTGTGATTCAGCAATGAAAAAGAATAGCCACTGTTTAGTGTTTTGTAACACAGAATAGACAAAAAAAAACCACCAACCTAATTATGATTTGCTTTGGACATTTTTCCCCCCTATTTATCTCCTCTATTCCTTCCATTTTCTGTTGTTTTGGACCTTTCTTGTATCTATAGAGTAGGCTAGGGGCAGAGTTGGGATTAGGAAAAGAGGCAAAAGAAATTTCCAAAAACCAAGTCATTGAAATAGCCTATCTTGTAAATAAGAAAGAATGTTAGAAAGACTGCTAATTCTTGAAATTTATTTTCAAGCTTGTATGTCTATGATATTTAAGGCTCCATACAGGTGTTGTAGCCCATTTATAAATAGACATCTGTCCTGCTCCCCCTCCCCAATGCCTTAAAAATAAAAAAGAGACAATGATAAACATAAAAATACTCAACTTTTGTTAGAAATTGGTATTTACCTTTTTTATTTATAAAAAGCTAGCAAATTTCCTTTTAAAATTTTAGTAGAATACTGAATAATAATAGAACCGAAGGGAAATATAATTAAAACAATGTGCTCTTATAAAATGTGCACCACCCAGTGAAGTACTCTTTGTCAAAACATGCTTATTGTGTCTTATTTTCTATTTATCAAAGAAAAATGGAAACTTATTTTTCTTCCAACTCACCTAGTTCACCCTACAACAATTTCCGCTTATTATCAGACCCAGAATGGTGACCCCTCAATTACTTTTTAACTCAGGGGGGAATAAACACAGCAAAATATTAGAACTGGTGGCTATGACGGGTGAGCCATTATCACAAACCCTAGCTCTCTTGAGATCTATTAACAAACTTAAGATCAATGAGTCATGA